GCCGTGTGAGGGTAGCGAATGGCTTGGGGAGTTTTCTTGACCCCCGTGGTGGTTAGAACTGACCCGCGGACGGTGGGGGTTACCTCGACGACGATGGTCGGGACCATTATTTTGATGAGGCTGAGAATCTCCCCGCCTTGAACTTTTATGGGTGTACCCATACGACGCGGTGTGGGACGGCTCATGTTGCGACATGTCACCAAGTCGTAATGCCACGTGTATTCTACCTGCTGCATGACCAGTGTTCACTAGCCCCTCGAAGCCCTTTGGTCTACTACTCGCCATTTGTTTCCCCTTACTTTTACGTGCTGTAGTGCATGCGGTACAGGCCTCGTTGGACTCCGGTGGCAAGACCCGGTCCAAACGGTCTAGCCTCCTACTAACCGTTTGGAGAGTATTGTTGAACCTCTCCAGGTAATTCATCACGGTCGGGTCAAGCTGTGAGCCTGAAGGAATATTCGTCATGATACTTTACAAGATTGGCGGCACTTTAAGAGAAGTGTCATTCTGTACCTGGGGGATTTCCTCATTGTCGATATTGGTTCTCTCAGTTTCAAAACCACGAGCCATTTATTGGTGGACAGGATTGGTCAGAGGTTTTTGATGAAGAGCAGATACAAAATCAGGCCCTTCCTCTAACACCAAACTGTTGATGCTTGATTTTGACACCAACTATTCACGTGTGTGAAGTGCTAAGCAGACTTAGAAATCACACGTGGTATGGAAGTATAAAAAGAGATATTGAATGGGTAGCACTTTTTAAAGTGGTTCGGATGCTCTAAAGTGAATCCTACGTCCATTGTGATTATATTAATGGGTGATTACAATTAGGTCGCACTCGGTGAGCTGGATTAAAATAGAGAAAACAAATGTGGAGAGAGAGAGAGAGAGAGAGAAAGAGGGAGAGAGAGAGTATATGTTTTGAGCGGTGGATGAGCCAATCTCGTAAAATAGAGGAGGCCCTTCTATTTATAGTTGAAGGATTGAAGCTGGTAATCATGATTCTGTGTGCGGGCAGGTGTGGTACAATTCCTATCCCGCTTCCCATTGGTTGTCTGCACTAGAGATATCATTAAATCGTGTAGGGCTTTAACAGGTGGACAGTTCTTAACCATTCATAAGTCTGACGTTCACCTGCCTCACTGACGTTAGCCTTACCCTTTTCATCCTTGCGGGACGTGGCTGCATCTAGACAGCAGAAAACCTTTCTGAATTCTGATTGGTCCTTGCTCATTTGGGCTCACATCAGCCTTGGTTTTTTGGGCATAACAATAGCCTTTTTGGGTCACTTTGTGGAGCATAAGCAGCCATTCATCCAAAATATTTGTCATCGTTGTCTCTTTGTCCTACAAATGAGCTTCTTCACCCGATATCGATTGTGTTTTCCCACAATCATATAGGAAAATAAAATCTTAATTAACTAATTGACAGTTTTAATAAGATCTTGTTTAGTATCTTTTCAGCCGTAATTATGTTCATCCCACCATAAACAAACATAGGGATGACTATGTAAACCCTCCAAGTTTGATCAAACCTCGAAAGGGTTTATAGTAATTATCACAAGAAACATATTCTAAGATTCCTACTCACCTCACCTCCTAGAAAAATAAATTAAATAATAATAATAATAATGTAAGTTTTTCTTCCATCAAATTACATCTATTTAGAATCCCCTTTTCTTCTAGCAGTCTTGAAACTGGCTCCTCCTTGGAGGATTGACGACTGATTGGTAACAAAATGTGAAAACACTTGTAAGTCAATGACTTAGAACTTCCCAGTCTCTAAATACTCCACATAACTTAATGTCTTCATCCCACATTTCCCACCGATTTTATCATACAAGTTTGACAAAATTAATGACAATTATCAAACATTTATGTTTGTAGTCCACGTTACAAATTACTAAAAGCTTTATTAAATTTATTACAACTTACAACCTAATGTTATGCTTATGTTTCTTTTTCCATGGACACCTTTGAAGTATAATTAAAGAACAAGTAGACCCACATGTATCAAAACGAAACACTGACACCCCTGTAGTTTCATAATGCAATACTTACATCCTTGTAATTGAATGATATTTATGAAATATAGACCTGGCAAATGGGCGAGCCGGGCAGGTACGGGTCGGATAGTTACAGGTAGCGGGTAAAACGAATCCGGGTCTTGGGTCGAGAAATGCATAACCTGTACCCATCCGTGCAGGTACGGACCTGCGGGTCACCCGTTTATTTTGCTTTTTAAAATTTTTCTTCTCAATTTTTTTGTTTTTAAGTTTTTTCTCCCATTTATTTCTTTACTCCCAAATATTTCTTTTCATCTTCGTCTTCTTCTTCCCTCTCTCTCCAAGTTTTCTTGTCTTTTCCTCCCTTCCCCCTACATATTTTTTCTTCTTCTACCTCTCTCCAATTCTTCTTTGTATTTTCTCCCCCTCCACTTTTTCATATTTCTTCTTCTTCTTCTCCCTCTCCCCAATTCTTCTTCATCTTTTTCTCCCTCTCCCTTTTTCATATTTCTTCTTCATCTTCTTCTTCTCCCTCGCTCCAATTCTTCTTTGTCTTTCTCTCCCTCTCAACTCTTTCATATTTCTTCTTCTTCTTCAATCTTCACCCTTCCAATTCTTCTTTGTCTGATTGAGAGAAACGTGGTGTCGGTTTGTGTGTGAGAGAGATTGGGAAAATGATTTTAGGGTTTTAATTTTTTAAATAATATGCGGGTACCCACAAGCATTACTCGGCCCACTCGCATTTTTCACGAATGGGCCGAATACAGGTAAAATTTTCACAGGTAAATTTTAGGGGTATCTGTACCCACCCCTTTCATGTGGATACTCGTTGTCCCACGAGTAGAAGTACCTTTTTGCTAGGTCTAATGAAAAATAACTATTATAAGGTAAAATAAACAACACAATAAAATAACAATTTGTTTATGTCTTATCGAATTGTCAAAATTTAATATTTTTAAATAATTTAATATATTTAATATTTTGTTTATATGAGAAATATCATATATTAGTTTACTATTATTGTTATAATAATAATAATGAGAAAAGACAAAATAAAGATATATTAATCATTGTACAAGATTTTGTGTTCCGATTAGCGTTTCACAAAGTATCTGTCAACCATAAGGGTGTGAGTGTTCTGAAACTTGTGGGTCTCTTTGGACTTGGGAGTGTTCTGAAACTTGTGGGTCTCTTTGGACTTGGGAGTGTCCATGAAAAACCTCCCACCAAAAATATTTCATAAAATAATTTAAAAATGCAATTAATTAGGATATTATTTTTAATTATTTTACAATATTATTACCCGATATTATAAAATTAATTTTTTGCTTAAATAATTTTTTTCTTTCAATAATCTATCTATTTCATTGGAAATTGAATTCAATTAAAATTGTTAATGTCTATCAACGAATTATTAATCTCTTACCGTTATAAAATTTCACTTAATAAATATGTAATTTATTTTCAAACAAATCTTTTATCAACTCCTTAAATCCCATTACTATCATTAAATTATTAATACGTGCTATTTAAAAGTCAAATTTTGATATTGTTTCCTTTTTAAAAAAAAAAAAAAAAACTTACACCTATCATTTATTTTATTATAATATTCCATCTCCCAACATTAAATATCATTTAAAAGTTTATTAGTTATTGTCCTATTAGTTTTATAAAACTAGCCAATATAATTTTGGATTGTCACTTAAGAGTTTCATTCATATTTCAAGTCAATTTTTTTTATTTTTTATAATTTTATTTATTTTCACTTTTATATATTATTTAAATTGATATTCATCTTATCTTTATTTATTATAGCTTATTTTTAATCTTAAATGTTTACTAAAAAATATATATTTAAATATAAAAAATAAACAATAATAATTTAAACTGGTAAGAAAAAGAGTGATGCTATTGACCCCCCCACCTTTTTTCTTAGTTGGCCCAAATTGTTATTTTCTTCATATTTATAGTTTTATCCTTATGAAAATTACTAAATAAGACTCAAAAGTATTTTATATACAGTTAATCTAGAATAATCTTTTGCTATTAACTTAAAATTATTTCATTTTCTTTTCTACATCATAAACGCTAATTTTATTTTTAACAATCAAGATGAAATGAGTTTGGGCAATAACATATATGCAATAAATTCTTTGGGTTAACTTTATCATATTTTATTGTTTATAACTTTCAATTGAGTTGCGCATTTACAGAATTTATATATCAAGGATTGAGAAAGTATAATATAAGTAGTAAAAATATAAAAGTAAGGTTTTTTTTTTTTGGTAAATGGATGAGGTTTATTTAGACATAGGGATTGGTGTGGGTCAAGGATCCCATTCTTCGGGCCCCTCCTCGGCTCCTAAGGGATTCCTGGGGCCTAGCCTGCGAAGATGAGTTGATCCCCCGGTCCTGCCCTAGTCAACCGGGGTCTTTGTGGGGTCAACGAGGTCAAACATTTTTTTAATACAATTTTTTTTTTTTTTGTATAATTTATGTTGAGACTAATAAAAAAACACATCATGGTTCGACAGATTAAGTTATATCAACTTAATTTTTGAACTTAAAAATGTAACACCATTTATTATTATTATTATTATTTTATAATTCATTGATTATTTTATACGTTACTTCATTACATTATAAATAGTTGGATTATAGATAATTTTACAACAGAAATCTATTATCGAATATTTACAGTTCTGAAGAGATTAGATTTTTTTTTTTTTCTGGCCTCATTGTCTAAGTATCTTTTCAAATATACTTATAATTTCGTTGTTAGAACTTAGAAATTTATTACAAAAGGTAATTAAAATCCTCTAACACTATCTAATTAGAAGAGAATCTATTATATTGATAAAAATCTAGAAGTCAATTTTAGTAGCAAAATAAAACTTGTTATTATTATATATATAAAAAGTCACAAATTATTATTTATAATATACAGTAAGACTTAGTTAGATATAATACATAATCAACTATAATATACAGTAGGAGTTGTTTTCGCTTAAGGCGTGCAAAATAATTGAGACAGCAGATAACTGAAGTGCTCTGATTCCCTTGGACAAATCAACAATTAAGAACAAATAGGGCAGTCCCGTGCGTCTCTACTTCGATCAACACTGAATGTTTCAAAACTCCTAAATCTTCTCCACTCCAAACTTCTTGGCACTTGCATGAACCTGCTTTCAAGTTTTTACCTGGAAGTGCCTTTGCCAAGTCTGATATTTTCGCTGATATTGCCGTCTTATCAGAATTTAGATTGAAGAATGCGACATATACTTCTCCTGATATCATTAAAAAGAATCATCTAGTTGACTCGGAAAGCAATGAAACTATGCATAAATAACTTTTATGAGAAGTGGGTGGCAGATTATTCAATCCTGAATGTAACCAACAACTCTTGAGATATCTTCTTTCCATGAAAATATATCCTTTTTCCTTTTCATTATCATGTATACCTTTTACCTTACCTTAATGCAGCAGAAATTATTTCAATTGGCCAGGAAAATATAGCATAATTTTAAATAAAACAGACCTTTTCTTCCAGTTGCAATCCAAGAACGAATTCCTTCAGCAACTCCTTGAGCTGCATAATTCATCAATTAGTATCTGAGAAAAATCATACGAGAAGAAGATTTTTCAAAAATCTGCTTCCAGCATGTAGCAAATTTGCTTAAAGATATCACCTTGAACTAAATTCACTGTGGCACATTGACCAGAATAATTGTTTACAAGAGCACCACTAGAATTCAACTCCCACATCTGCATTTCATAGACAGTCTCAATCAATCATAACCTGACTTGGGAATAATATAAAATTATGGAAATAACATACATAAGTTTTAGTGTTTGATAATCATATAATAGAAACTAGCATTAGGATATTAGGCAATCAGTCAACCAATAAAAAAACCTGCTTGTTCTTCCCTTCTTTGAATATTAACCATTTTTATCCTTATCTACAAAATAATTGATTTTAAAAGATACCTGGAGGGCATCTTTTCTGCACTTGGATATTGAATTTTTTCCAGATAATTTTGATGCACGATAAGGCTTTGGACTAGCATCCAAGCAGTGTTCAGTTTCTTCACTTGCTAATGAATTTAGTACTGATAACTGATAATGTTGTGCAGAGATTTGCTCGTTATTCCTTTCATAACCATTCATATATATTATGTCAACAGTTGTGATAAATGCAAAAGTTAACAAAAAAAAAAAATCAAACAAGTAAAAGTAATTATGATAAGGAAATATTACGTAGCAGAAAGAGGTAAATTCCTCGGATATAGGCATATAGGTTCACCGGAGCTGTTCCCTGAGTTCTCTTTCCAGCAGACTTTCCCTTGATTCTGATCAGTTGCAGTTGTCCAACCTTGTGCTTTGGGATCCTGGCAGCTGGTGAGATGAAAAATAGGATTTGCTTTTGGTGCGCTCGCATTATTGTTTGCAGTATCGCCGGTACTATTATTGTTAGTAGTTTCTTTTATTGGTAGTCCAAGAATTTCAGTAAACTGTATATGCAACACAAAGTTAGATAAGATGCATTAGAAGAAATTTTATTCTTCAGACTTGGTGTATATAACAATAAGATGTCAATTACATACCTCCTTATTGTTTGAGCTATAATGGTCTATCTCCAGCACAGTAGGATTTGTAATCAGACTATATGTAGTATCATCAAGTTTCCTTACATCTCCTCCAAACAAGAGAGGAGACTTGACCATAGCCCACAAAGTCATCTGTTAAAAAGGCTTAAGATATAAAAAGAATGCTTGTTCACCAAGTATCATAATACTAATTCAGATGTGCTTATCCAAGCATACCTGAGTTTTTTGCTCATCGAAAGTAAGTCTAGAAGCTCTGTGCGGACCGTCATTTGCAACTGAAATAATATGACAATATCCCAATTATAAGTTTGTGGGTTTTCATCCAGTCTAGAAACTCATTTTCATATAAATTATCCAATCTAACCATCCAAGCTTTTTCAATCACCAAGACATTAAGATGTCTAGTGTGCTAGGTAATCAGCAAATATAATTGAAGATTTATGTTCTAAGATAATCCAAGAAACAAGGTCCCTTGCTCAAAAGAAGATTTATATTCAAGCATAATAAGTTTTGCAAGCCATATGTTAAGTTATAATACTTAATGATTTTGTTTCTCCTGCAGTCAAAAGGTGTAGAATATGCACAGAAGAAAGAGATCAACAATTTGATTAGATATATAACCTGGTTCAGAAAGCCACCCCAGTGGAAGCATATCCAAGTCAGGCCATGATTTCCCACGCAAGCCCTTTCTACCAATCAATTTAGCAGCAGCGAAATCCCTGAAGCAATAGTGACATGTATGATCAAGTATATGAAGAGGAATAAATGGGCAGAAACTGGAAAAGAACAAAAAACAAAAAAGGCAATACTAAGATTGTTATCTAAGCTTATAAGTGTATAGATTCTTATTCTACCTTGAAATATTAAAATGGGCTGCAAGGTCTGGCCATGTATCCCAATCATCCCCAGTTATCCTGTACATGTTTACTAGTTGACTTATTTCTTTGGCCATAGCAGGTGTAGCCTTGGCTCCAGGGGACAAAGAAAACACAAGCGGGCGATTCGCCCCCTTAAGAAGCTGCACAAACGCACTTAACATGTATTACCTTTCAACTCTTTAATTGGGAATGTAAACCAATGTCACTAAACAATATTGCTTACTTTTGAAACATAGACTATCTCATTTTTATCAAAGTCATCACCAAATACGCAGTCAAGTTTTACTGCAAAAAATTAAAATCTTATAAACGGTTATTAAGCCAGAAAATTTAAATATATATAGACCAAGCAAGATAAGTTTGAATTAGTTTTCAACTTACTAAAGTCAACACCCCACTCAATGTAATCTTTATACAGTGATCTCAAGAAAGCTTTTCCAGCCTCCGAGGTAGCATTTATGCTCATAAATCCATGTGGCATCCATTTACAAGTCTTGTCCTGGAATCCTATATCTTTTGCTCGCCACTGTTTGCCTGATTGATCCTCAAAAGCACTTCCCTAATGAAAAGACAAAAAGGAAATACCATTGATAATAATTTTCAGAACAAACTCTTTCATATAAATTATTTAACTGTTGAGGAAGCTAAGGTGAAGAAACAATACAAATACCTTGTCAACATCCAAGATTGGGGTGTTTGCATTATATGCTTGTGTGCTTAATCCTCTCATGATATGAATCCCAAACTTTAGACCCATATCATGTACTTTCTTGGCTACTTCAGTGAACCCTTTTCCACCTTTGGATGAAGGCCATCTATCTGGGTCTGGAACCATCCTCCCCCACTCATCCATCATATCAAATCCAAGAGAATCCAGATTGGCACCTGGGACTTTCTATCTATACCAGAGATAATCCAACACAACGTACTGTATGCCATCCAATTCATTAGAAAAGAGCATGTTGCTAATTAAAACATTAATTGTATAAGAAAAAGTAAAAGGAAATGAATCCAAATGATTCAAGTTTTTGTTATACCTCGTATCCATGAGGTTTTAGACGCTTAGAAACAATTTCAGCACTTTCCAAAAACTCTTGTTCTGAAATAGTCCAGATAAAGGCATCATAAGAGTTCCAACCCCTTGGCGATAAAGAAGTGTGTTGTGTTTTTTCAGATGATACCCTGAATGCCAAAACATAACATTTTTGCTTCATCATAGTGAAACATTAATATTAATGATTATGTATATATGTTTTTTATAAACGAAGCCGAATGTATCTTTTTGGATTGGCGCATGTTACATTAAAACTATTAATATGTTTTATTTACTGATAATCATCAATAAATTAAAAAAATTCAATGAATATTAAACATGGCTCTCTTCTAATGCTCTCAACGTAATAAGAGAAAAAAAATAAAAAATAAAAAAATAAACCTGTAAAGAGAAAGACTGATGAAGCAGAAACACAGGGTGCTCAATACAAAGATCTTCATGGTTACTGGTTTGATTTTTGCTGACACTAAAAAAGAAACTGGTGTTATTCTTTCTGACACTAAAAAAAAAGATAATGGAATTTAATCTCTATAATATGGTAAGGAAGCTATTGAAGTTGTTCCTTATATACTCAGAAAATTGAGAAGTAACAGACAAAACTAAGGCAATACGAACTTTTATCCTCCATTTCAGGTAACTGTAGGATTAATTTAGATAGAAAAAACTTTGGATATGAAAAAAACATGCTTTTTTTGGTAATAATCCCACAAAAGTTGATAAGGCTGGTGCATTGGTGAAAGAGCGGTCTCATATCTCAGTATCTCACACTATTATTAACTTCCCCAATTGTACGGGCATAAAAATTCAAGGGTTTTTAAAAAATAACCAGAATTTGGGGGCTTTCAGTAAATAACCAAAAATTGAAACCCTATACGGCTATACCTATATAACCACCGGTTGCCATTTTGACGCAAATGCCCCCATGTACAAACCCAATTTTCCCTCATTTTCCACCATCTCAAAAATCAAAATTCAAAGCATTGGATTTCAATTTCGTTCAAAACCCGACCATTTGCAATGTTTAACAGTTCGAATGTGAAGATTAAGTGTGGATTTTGAGTTGAAAAATTGGTTGGGAGAAGCAATGTGAGCGAAATCGTGGGGAGAAGAAATCCGAGCGAAATCGATTTTTCTCATTGTTGGAGTGATTTTGAGTTTGCAAGAAAGGAAAGTTAGTTTTTAGTGTTTTGATACTACATTATACTTGATTTTATTGATAAATACTTGTTTAATGGATTTTTTAGGCTTTTAGACTTTTTGTAAAAAGTTAGGGTTTTTGTTGATTTGGTTGATTTTGGTGTTGTTTGATTGAATATCTTGGTGTTTTGGTGATTGGGGGTGTGGGTGTTGTTGTGTTTGAAGAGAATAGAAGTGTTTTGCTCATGTGTGTTGCAAATCCTTTCAAATTGTAGTCGATTTGGCAATGGACGAGGGCAGAGTAGTTTCCACAGAATCAAAAGGCTCTTCCTGAGTTCTCGATTACTTGCCCGACCAGACGAGATTAGTTGAATGACCAAAGCAGAAGAAGGCATAGTGATCACTGACCAGGATTGAATTTCCTAGCTTAAAAAAGAGAGGCGCATAAGCACTCGTAACTGAGAATGATATAACATAAGCACGAGTTGATCCATTAAATAGAAATGTTGGTTGAGCCCTCTCCAATACTCCTGTTTAACCTGTTCCGATCTTCCTCAACGGTCGACAATTGACGTATCTTTTCCAATTGGCATAAAGAATTACGCCAATTGGGAAAAGAGTACACTAAAACCCAAGCATTTGCATTATTAGCATAAAATAATATGCCAACAGCCATTTTGCCTTATCGAGTTGGCGTATTATTTTATGATATTAACCTAAATTCTCGGGTGTTAGTGTAACTCTGTTACGCCAACTGTGTTGAGAAAAAAAATTCTATAATTGTGTTTATTTCTTACAATTAATACAAATTGGAGAAGCTTGTTTATCTTTTTCTTTCTCCATCTCACTTACGTTTGAAACATGGAGAAAAGACATATATACTAGTTTAAATTACCTATAGACCATGATGTCTAATCCGCAAGTGCACGGAATCACACAAGTAATATAGAGTGAATAACAGATGTCAAACCCTAAGGAATTATTAACTACCAGTTACCAAAATTGACTATCTTGTTACTATTTGATTGACCAAAATTTTATGAAGAATAACCTAAACTAGAATAATCAATCAAAAAAAATTTAAAACTGAAAGAAAAATAAACTTTAAACAAAACTATTGATTGCAATGCAAGATGATTAAACCTAGGGCATAGATTTCACACCAACTCTACTTATATGTATTGATAATTTATGCTAACCTTATTAAGCTTTTTCTACAGGTCAAACTCCCTAGAATTCCAATAACTTTCTCTCGAACAATTACCGGATTAACACTTAATTACTAACCCGAGATGTCTCTAACTAAGATTTAAGTATTAAAAGATCATTACGCTCTATGAAGTTTACCAAAACCTCACAAGTTGCGGTTATCTATCTCTAGCGTTAACTCAACCTATGGTTTTATTACCTTAGACTAATCAAGTATCATCTCCCAATCTCAACCTAGTTCATTAATTCATTCAATTCTATGGCCCAAAAAAATTACAAGCATTAAGCACAATAATAAAACATAGAAAGAATGCTTAATAAAAATTAAAAAAATTATATCAACACATATTCATAGGGATTGGGCTACACTTAGCCCTAGAAAACTAATTTAGTTCATAATCATCATAAAAGAAACAATCATCTTTATTAAAATAATCAACATGAGTTTAAGCCAAAATTAAGAAGAACTTCTCTATATTGCGAATCAAAAGTTCTAGAAATTTTGTCACTTTGATCTTCTCTTACCATTCTTCTCCTTTAATTCTCTCTTACTCTCCCCAAAAATCGACTAATGATGTATATTTATATCACTAAGGTGTTGGGGTTGTGTTTTCCACTTTCCTATTTGGTTTAAAACTCTTAAACTTGTAAATAACCATCATATATTTAATGCAGAAAATTCTAGAATCATGGTTGTGCCGCAGCACTATGCCTCAGCATAGTTGGTTTTGCCTCGAAATCTTGATTTGTCCAGAATGTGCTATGCCACGACACTATGCCGCAGTATTGAAAAGAAGGTGATTTTAAGCATGATAACGTTTGAATCTAGTCAAGTGGTAAACATATGAATTGTATCCCTTTAAAATCCCTTTAAATTAGATTTCCAATGGTCCAAAAATCGTCTCATTCCAAGGTCTATATCTCAAGTTATTTGTCAAAATACTGAAGTATGCTCAAACTAGAGCGTATTCTAGGATTTGCACTTCAACTTCAAAACACCATAACTTTCTCGTTTCAACTCCAATTCTCGAACAGTTTGTTCTTCATCCTTACTAATTCCATCGCCAATATAATTTTCATACGAGTATCATCTTTAAACATTGATAACCTAAAAACACTCAAAACATACCCATAATCCCAAAAAAGACATTGATGGAATAATTTTGGTCAAGCTGCTTAATTTAAACTAATTTCCAACAAATAATCCTTATAAACCACTAAGCACAAGCGTATTTTCAAGCTCTTATCAAACCACATAATATTGTTAGCCTATTAACCATAACCATTCACTTATTACTATTTTTTAATGGATAAGTATTAAACTAATAATAACCATTAAAACTAAACAAGTTTAATTATGGTTTTTCAATACTCCCTCTTAAACGTGTGTTTTGTGACATTGAGCCAATTTCACATCCTTGCAAAGTCCTTGTACTCCACTAGTATTTCTTTTCTTTCAATACATTCTCTTATGTAATGAAAGCAAGTATCAATGTGCTTGTTTCGGTCATGAAAGATTGGACAGTTTGACTTTGCCCTGTATCGATGTGCTTATATGATTGCAATCATACATCTTAAACTTCTTAAGGATCTCCTTTGTATAGCCTTCTTGAGAGATGAAGATGTCATCTCCCCTTTGTTTGAATTCGGTGCTATGATAGTATGTCATAAGCCCAATATCAATTATCTCAAATTCCTTGGCCATTGCTTTCTTGAATTCTTCAAACAAGCTTGGGTTGCTTCCAATAAAGATCAAATCATCCACATACAAGCACACGATCAAAACATCTTTGTTCTTGATCTTGACATAAAAAGCATGCTTATGAAGACATTTGGTGAAATCATTCTCTTAAAAGTAACTATCAATATGGTTGTTCCATGCCCGAGGTGCTTGTTTCAACCCGAAGAGAGCTTTGTTCAACTTCAAAACTTTGTCTTCTTGCCCTTTCACTTCAAAGCCCAAAGACTGTTCGTAGACTTCATCTTCGAGTACTCCATTCAGGAAAGTAGACTTTACATCCATCTGATGAATCTTTCACTTATTTTGAGCTGCCCAAGAAATGATTAGTCATATGGTTTCTAGGGGAGCAATGAGAGCAAATGCCTCATCATAGTCAATGCCAACTCTTTTGACTATATCGTTTTGCTATGAGCCTTGCCTTGTATCTTTCAACCTCTTCTTTTGCATTCTTTTATGTTTGTCAACCGATTTAACCCTTATTGTCTTGTATCCTTTAGGAACTGAAGCAAGTTCCGATGTGACATTCTTTATAATTGCTTTGATTTCTTCATCCATTGTAGCTCTCCACTTCCTGACTTGTTCAACTTCTTAGAAATTCACAGATTTACAATCGGTAAAGAGACAAAACAAAGTGATGTTTTCATGTTATTTGGTTAGTTCATAAAGATCTTGTAAGCTTATAGTACATTGCATAACCCTTTCAAACTCTATGGTGACGATGATGATAAGTGAGAACTTGTTGCCGATGAAGTTGATGGGGTGGCCAACTCTTGTTGTTCTTTACTCATCTGTTCCACTACAGGTTGCTTACCTTTCTCTTCAAATAAAAGAAAGAAGTTGTAGTCTTGATTACAAACATCCCAAATCCAAACTCAACATCATAACTAATAATTGTCTTCTCTATGCTTGGATTGTATAGCTTTTACCCTTCTAAGTGTGTATCGTAACCAATAAAAAGGTACTTCTCGCTTTTATCATCCAGCTTGCTCATTTTCTCATTAAGTACATATATATAGCTATACTTCCAGAAACTCTTAAATGGGAGATTCCAAGTTTTCTCCCACTCCATGCTTCTTGTGGTGTTCTTCTCCACACACTTCTCGTTGGTGATCGATTTGACAGGTACCCTACACACGCCACAGCTTTTGCCCAAAATTCTTTTGGCATTTCTTTGAATTTAAGCATGATATGAGCTATGTTGGGGATGGTTGTTTTCTTCCTTTCTAACACACCATTTTGTTGTGGGGTTCTTGGAACTGTCAAAGGTCTATGAATTCCTTTGGCTTCACATATATCTTGAAACTCTTTAGATTTGAACTCTCCTTCTCGATTAGACCTCATGACCTTAATCTCAAATCCACTTTTTTTCTTGACAATAGCTTTGAACTTCTTGAAAAATCCAAATACTTCTGACTTTTGTTTCAAAAATTACACCCAAGTTTTTCTTGAGAAATCATTAATGAAGAGAAGAAAATAGTTACTTTTACCAAAGAAACTTGGCTTTATTGGTTCACACATATTAGTATGTATGAGTTTAAGTTGCTTTTGAGCTCTTGAACTTGACTCTTTTGGAAATTTGAATTGCTTCCCATGTACACATCCCTTACATAGTTGATCAAGCTGATCGATGTATGATAGTCCTTTCACTAACTCTTCTTAGATAATAACTCTGATTCTCCAAAATTGAGATGCCTGAATCGAAGATGCCAAAGGCATGTCGTGTCTTTATAGCAAGCCTTAAGACAATTTGCAATATCATTTTGGATATTTGATGCGTTCTTGTTTGCTTAGCAAGTGCACTACTTGCAAAAATAATAAAATGACAAGTAGAGTATCGTTCCCGCGAGGAAAGTGTTACCAATTACTGAATTCTCTAGTTAAAACACTAATTGAAGAACCAACAAATGGAATGGTGGAATATTAACAACCTAATTAACAATCAATGACAAGAATGAAATTAAAACAAAACCCAATATCACAACGAATCAAATAATGACAAAAAGCGATAGACTTTTTTATTTCACCTAGTTATGCAACCCAATTTATTGATTCTAGTACCCAGGCACTAATTTCTTGATTGAAAATTGAATTCCTTAAGATGTTTAACACTCCTTCTCAGGTTATATCACCCCACCAATTTCTATTAACCTTCCAAACCAAAAATTGAAGTTTAATAGTTTTGGGTTTCTTAAGATTTGTGGAATTCTATATAGATTTCATAAATCGCATTTATCTATCTCTATTTTTTGCTCAGTTTGTTGTGTTTATCCCAAGGGGCACATATCATAAATCACTTCTTAGTGTCATCATGAACAACATATCATTTGAATGGTGATCAAGCATCCAAAAGCATTGAGCATGGAAATAAACACTCAAATCGTGAAATTAGAACTAAAAGTAACTCAAGTCATATAAATTGGATCATTCTAACAACGGTTTCATCAAAATCCTAACTAAACATATTAGTTCATGCTAGAAAAAGAAACAAACAATAAAAACAAGAAGAATCTAAGCTCATCATTGGATAACAAGCTAAAGTTGGAGAGACTTTTTTAAATGTTACCCCAGATCTTAACTTCTATTGCTCTCCCAAGTTAAACGAACCAAACTCCCTTTCTCTTCTATTTCTCTCTAATTTATACCCTTTCCACTTTTGGACAAAATCCTACCAAGCCAAAATACGTTGTTTTATTTTTTTCGCATCTAACACTCCTTTATCGTGTATT